CAACTTTCGACTTTGCGACCTTTGCAGGTTCACTTGTTATCACTTTTCGTTCAGCTTTTTCTTTTGCCTTGCTTTCAACTAACTTTTCCACAACTTCTCTCAGTTTTATTGGTTTCTTTGGAGGCACAGGTTGCTCTTTTTGCGCCTTTTGTTTTTCAGCTTTTGCCTCAACTTGACCCAGCTTCGCAAGTTCTTCAAAAAGCTCAGCACTTGCATTCTGTGGTTCCTGTGCTTTTCGTCGGTAGCAGCTTTTCCTGTATTTGCAGGACAATTTCAGACCGTATAGCGTTGTAATCTTTTGGATTGGACTTGGCGTTTTTTGGATTTCCGGTTTCTTGCTTCCCAGCTCCGGCAAGTTTCCACTCTCATAGCACGATTTCCGGTATTTGCATCGTATCTCTAAAGGGACCAGTTCCTCATGCAGTTTAACGATATGTACATACTGAAACATTTGACCGGGCTCAATTACGGGCTTTTCCCCAGTAGCATAGCACGATTTCCGATATTTGCAGTACAGTTTTTTCTCATTTTCTTCAAGGTCATTGAACTCCCTGTGAATGCGTTCTTTCGCACGTCTTCTGAGAATCTTTTGCTGGATGAATTTGTAGAGCCGTGGCAGTGGATTGTAAAATGCACCGGGAAAATGTTCAGGCAGGATGCCAGTCTCGTAGCAGGATTTGCGATACTTGCATGCCAGGCGCTTCCTCATTTGCTCATCGATCTCGTTCAGCTTCTTATCGATGATCACTTTCTTCGGCAACGGCCTCTGTGCAGCCAGTTTTTCCTTCTCTTCCACCTTCGCCAGCGCGATTCGAGCAATTTCTTCGATTGTTTTGTGCCTCTTCGGCGGCAGCGCTATCGGAGAACGACGGGCAAGCATCGGTACAATATGGATATTTTCATAAAGCCGTTCGATTTCGGCTCCTACTTCCTGATAGCAAGATTTGCGGTATCGACAGAGTAACTTCAGCTCCGATTCACTAATCTCCTCTTTTGTTTCGTTGTCTATTGTTGCCAGTGTCTCTGGCTTTGGTTCCTTTTTTGGCTGCAGAAATCGCGGAATGATATTTCGAATATTCCATGTTTCCGGCACCACGCCAGTCTCGTAACATGATTTTCGATATTTACAAAGCAACTTCCGCCGTGCCATCGGTAATTTCAGGATATCCGGTGCCTCTTTCTGAATCCGTTCCAGAGCTTCACGTTTTCGACGTAGCTTCAAAAGTTCGTACTTTTTCCTGTTGACGCGCTTCTTTTGGTGTTTCACAAATGCGTGGTGCTGATGGGGGTCATGATGTACCGCATGTGGCTTGTGTGCCGAATGAGTGTGATGCTGATGTCCAGCCGCTGAGGCAAAAATTCCTTTCATCCAATAGCTCTTCACATTTTCATCTTCCGAAAATGATAATTTTTCCATTTGAAAATTAGAGCCTAATTGGAAAGTGAGATTTTCTGGCTCACCGTTGCAGGAATAAATGACCGAGGCACCATTTATAGCTCTGTAGACGTTGCAATCTGCTTCATGTCTTAGTACAGCGCCTGTTCTTTGAGCGCCATCTGCAAATACTCACTGGTACTAAGCATTTTTTAATCCACACATAATGACATCAGATTTATCCAGGATTTGGAGCAACCAATCCCTCTACCGTTCATTTACTTTCTCGATAAAAAAATTGGTATTACATATGCATAGTAGTTAAATTCGCAACTAGCTCGGAAAATAGGGATCATCTGTAGCGCGCGATACCTCCTAGTGCTTCCTGTTTTTATAGGTGATAGATGCAGAGGAGGGTTTGACTTTTTTGGCTGATCATCCGGTATGGTCGCTTAAAGTTTTAAAATTTGCTTATCGCCAACTTATTTCCGACATTAAGTTATTTGTTCAAGTCAAGTTTTGGTGTTGATTGTTATTTTCCGGACGGGGTTAGCCACCATTCGTAACTTTTAAAAGTTCGGTTATATTTCCAGTTTTACTGAGAATAGTGTTTTTGCCCAGAGAACCACTACGCTGGTAATTCAGGGTAAGGTGAAAGCGAGGATCACCAGCAGGCTGACCGCCAAGCGGTGTCGCATCGGTTATAACAACTGGAAAAGTATAAGACTTTCGAGTCAGAAATCAAAACTCCTTCCGTATTCACTCTCCTTAAGAGATGGAGATAGCCGGAAGTAAACCAAGCGGTAACAGCAACAACAACCAACCGCTTAAAAAACTTTCGAAGGCCTCCTCTTCCGAGAATTATTTAAAAGCAAGCTGATGGCGGTTTTGATGCCGTGCTATAAGCGAAATGAGGTAGCAGAACGGAACCAAGAAAGATTCGAGATCAGAATTTTCCTCCGGAAAGAGATACAGGAAGCAGTTGCTTCCGCACGAAGATATTTTCTTGTGGCGAATATCTTACGGGCGTCGATGATTACGAGTGGATGACTGCGAATCATCTGGACAATGTGGTAGAGCATCATGAGTTCAGCGAAACTCATTTCATCAGTTTTCTTCCAACTCCACACAGCCGTTTGTTGCGGTAACCAGTGCATCAGTTCCACATCTACATCTTCGCCCCCCAGCACTCGTTCTTTCCATTTTTCCATTTTATGCGTTCTGATTTGAAATGTAGCTGTTTGGTTCCCTGAAAAGAGCTTTTCATTATTTGTTGGTCCGGGACGAACGAAATCATAAGCGCTGGTGGTACTGGCGGGTATGAAACAGTGGCAGGTAGCGCTACTCTTGAATGCTGAGAATCGAAAAACAGCCAGTTCCTCCACGAATCCTTAATCCATTTTTACGAGAAATTGGTGCAGACACGTACCAAGAAGTCAAAACCGCCACCAGCTTGCTTGCCGTCGAAAGGGAAACCTTGCCAAGGGATCATCGCTCATGGCATGTGCCTCCGCCTCTGATAGGGAATAAATGCGGGAAGAGTTTTGATCAGTATTGGTACCTCTGCATGTTTGAGTGAATTTTATGACTTAGCTTTTTTTGACTTTCATTTCGAGCTTAAAGTAAAATGAGTTGGTGGATTGTTCATTTGAATACGACTAACTAAAAATTGTTTGAATTGTATTTAAGCAAAGTTTTTTCCTTCTCCCTCTTGGAAGAGTTAAGCTCAGCGCCATGTTTAGTTGTGTGAAATCTTTTTCTCAATGGTTTTGCAGTGGGAGATGTTGCAGGTATCACTAAAAAAAATATATTATTTCCTGTGATTTGCGATACTCAAGCAGTGAGTTTATATGACATGACGAGAGCGGGGGGGGGGGGGGGGGGAGGGGGGGG